GTTTGGAGGGACGGTAGGGGGGGGGGAGTGTATAAACTTTGCTATGTATTTGAGTAAGTTCTCAATACACCCAAAGCATGTGAGCCAATCCCATAGAAAGTGAGACAGAAAAAAATAGACGTTTTAACACGCAGATAAGAGAAACAAGTGGGACAGAAATAGCTAGTTCGTTGTGAACTTGACAAAACAGCATACACCTAATCCGACGTATTCGTTCAACTTTTCCACACTCCACACATATCTCGCAGATGTATCGACGGTCTAGCCCGCCTCCAGAGATGTCCTGCTGGTCTGTTCTTTCACCCTCTGTACCTGAGATGTGACTTTCATCCAGCACCCAGCTGTATACAGGTAAGGAGATGATGATGATGATGATGATATCATTATTATTTCTTTTAAATGTTTCCGGTGAAGCCATACGGCGAAACGTCAAACGCATTATACATTATATTTTTTGAAATCCTAACAAGTCTCAACCTTTTTTATTCTCAGTTTACAATGATGAGTATGATGATGATGATGATGATGATGATGATGATGATGATGATGATGATGATGATGATGATGATGATGATGATGAAATTTTGATCATTAATATTTCTTTTAAATGTTCCCGATGAAGCCAAACGGCGAAACGTCGAACGCATTATACTTTATATTTTTTGAAATCCTAACAAGTCTCAACCTTTTTTATTCTCAGTTTACAATGATGATGATGATGATGATGATGATGATGATGATGATGATGATGATGATGATGATGATGATGATGATGATGAAATTATTATTATTTCTTTAAAATATTTCCGATGAAGCCATAAGGCGAAACGTCGAACGCATTGTACATTATATTTTTTGAAATCCTAACAAGTCTCAACCATTTTTATTCTCTGTTTACTATGATGAGTATGATGATGATGATGATGATGATGATGATGATGATGATGATGATGATGATGATGAAGATGCTGATGATAAGGATGATGATGATGATGATGATGATGTCGTTGATGATGATGATGATGATGATGATGATGATGATGATGATGATCATGATGATCATGATGATGATGACGGTGAGAATGATGGTGATGATGATGATGATGATTTTTGTTATTAATATTATCATTTCTATTTAGCCATTATGGTAACTGTGGTCTACTCTACTCCACTAAAACAAGACATTAATTCGTAGCTAAATGGCAGGTTTGTTCTTTGCTTTTTTAAAATTAATTGTATCAGAGAGGGTTTCGCTCGATTCATTCTCAGATTTAGGTCTTTATTGGTCTCCCTCTTGTCTTCCACCTTGACATCTTCCTTACTCGCTGAATGGTGCTGGTGTGTATAATGAATGTGTGTGTGTGTATGCCTGTGTGAGTATTCGCATGTGTGTGTATTTGTGTGTGTGTGTGTGTGTGTGTATGTGTGTTTATGCACGCGCGCGTGGGGCGGGGATAGTGGTGTGTGTGCCCATGTGTATGTGTGTATGAATGTGTGTGAGATCGAGAGCGATTGTGTGTGTGTGTGTGTGTGTGTGTGTGTGTGCGTGTGTGTGTGTTTGTGAGGGTGAGAGAGAGAGAGAGGGAGAGGGGGAGATAGAGAGAGAGATAGAGAGAGAGATGGAGAGAGAGAGAATGTGAGTGCAGGTAGTGCGTATGTTTGAGTGTGTGTACGTGTGTGCGCGCGTGTGTATGTGCGCGCGCGCGCGTGTGTGTGTGTATGTGTGGTTGTATGTTTGTATGTGAGGTTTAATATTTAAGTGTGTGTGATGGGAGGGGGGGGGGTCAGATATTTGAACCACTAATTTTGCTCTGCTGTCAATGGTGGCGTCGCTGCATCTCTGATCTCGAAATCTCTGATTTTGTCACGCTTGGTCTAATTGACGACTCTCTTCAACATCGATCTCACAGGCGGTAATCTCGTTTCCGAGGCTTTTTGTCAGGGTCCTTGCTTGACTCTAGCATTATTACATTTAGAAGTGAGGAAAAAACACAGACACTATAAACTAGTTAATGCGAGGTCCGATCAGTGCTCAAAGACACGTTCAACTGACAGTTTTCTGCTTGAAAAGAGCAAATTAGTGTTGTGTGTGTGTGTGTGT